TGAGGTTCACATGGGCCCACCTCTCAAGCGGTTCCAGGCCACTCTGGTTGGCATCCCTTTCCTTCCAGCTTGTTGACCGCACCACACAGCTTGCTGTTGTCGGCAAACTTGCTGAGTGTGCGCACAATCCCACTGTCCATATTGCCAACAAAGATGTTAAACAGTGCTGGTCCCAATACCAACCCCTGAGGAACACCACTCATCACCAGCCTCCACTTGGACATGGAGTCGCTGACCACAACTCTTCTGAGTGCGACCATCCAGTCAGTTCCTTATCCACTGAGTGGTCCATCTGCCAAATCCATGTCTCTCCAATTTGGAGACAAGGATGTCGTGTGGGACAGCGTCAAATGCTTTGCACAAGTCCAGGTAGATGACGTCAGTTGCTCTTCCCTTATCCACCAATGCTGTAACCCCACCATAGAAGGCCACCAAATTTGTCAGGTACAATTTGCCCTTAGTGAAGCCACGTTGGCTGTCACCAATTACCTCCTTATTTTCCATGCACCTTAGCATGGTTCCCAGGAGGATCTGCTCCATGATCTTGCTGGGCACAGAGATGAGGCTGACTGGCCTGTAGTTCCTCGGTCTTCCTTTCTTCCCTTTTCAAAAATGGGGATTATGTTTCCCCTTTTCCAGTTATCAGGAACTTCACCAGACTGCCATGACTTCTCAAATATGATGGATAGAGGTGTAGCCACTTCATCTGCTAGTTCCCTCAGGACCTGTAGATGCACCTCATCAGGACCCATGGACTTCTGCACCTTCAGGTTCCTTAGATGGTCTTGAACCTGATCTTCTCCTACAGCGGCCAGTTCTTCATTCTCCCAGTCCCTGCCTTTGCCTTCTGCGACTTGGGCAGTGTGGCTGGAGCACTAGCCGGTGAAGACAGAGGCAAAAAAGTCATTGAGTACCTCAGTCTTCTCCATATCCTGGGTAACCAGGTCTCCCGTTTCTTTCTGGAGAGGGCTCACATTTTCCCTAGTCTTCCTTTTATCACCAACATACCTATAAAAGCTCTTGTTGTTGCCCTTCACATCCCTGGCGTGATTTCAATTCATTTTAATTCTATCAGGGCTTTAGCTTTTCCTAACCTGATCCCTGGCTGCTGAGACAATTTCTCTATATTCCTCAAAGGCCACCTGTCCTTGCTTCCACCCTCAGTAGGCTTCCTTTTTGTGACTGAGTTTGTCCAGGAGCTCCTTGTTCATCCATGCAGGCCTCCTGACGTTTTTGCCTGACTTCCTCTTGGTCTCTAATGGTCAGATCAACCGAAGGTTCAAATTCCTGATTTGGAGGAGATTATGTAGCATGTTTGTTTATGGGTTTTGGGATGAGATAAAAAGAAGACTGGTGTATTTCCCCACAAGGGACCACATGCCGAGGTCTGTGTGATGTTTAAACAGAAAAAAGAGAGGTCACCACCTGTGTGTCACCTACCTGCTTGTCAGCCAATGCCCCATTGTCACATTTGCTCATTGAGAAAATCGATTTCTCTTTACCACCAAAGCCATTTCACCCTTTATCTATGCTCTTGTCCATTTTGTTGTGTGCTCTCCCCAAATCTAGATTTCCCTGCATTTTCTATTTCCCTGCAACTTTACCCAACTTTTCCTCCTAGAACTATTAGCAAGTAAATAGTTAATGTTGATTACTGAGATGATTTACCTTCCAAATTAACTGGTTTCTGTAGGATCTCATGTCAGGCTGAAACTCAAATAGTTACTAGGACTGTTCTCTTCTGGAAGATGCCTTCAGCAGCCACAATAGCAGAAGCTCTAAGAAGGCTCCAAGAACAGTATCTGGTAGGCTAATTCACAGTGGAACACGGGATCCCCTGTATCCTGCTTTCAGGACTTACTTCTGAGCTTTCAGCTAACTGTTTTTAAATTCAGAAGACAAATCATTTCACCCCTCATGGCTGAGCCAGAAAAATGAGTGAGATTCTCTGACAGCAAGAACATCAAGCTACAGAGAGCACAAAAATCAGTGTTAGTGCATGATTCTTCTATGTACACAGTGGATGACAACTAGAAGAAAATACAAAGCCATAGTGGTGCTATTTACCTGATATTTGTAGATTCTGTCTGTATCCACTTAAATTTAATTGGGTTACTTTTGAATTAACATGATTGACTGCTGCTTTGACATGGGTGGCTGTGAAGTCACACCAGGACAAGTTCAGCTCCTCCAACCTACACACAAATGAACAAAGAGTTGTTTGGAAGAATGACTGAAGCACAGTTTGAGTTCCAATATTATCTATTACAGCAGACACTTTTAAGACAAAAAGTTGTAACACACCTACTACCAACTTCCTGTATTCGTGACTACAGTTTTCACTATGACAATAATTAAGCAGCAGAGCAGGTTGCCCAGCAAGGCTGTGGAATCTGTCCTTGGAGGTTTTCAAGACCCAACCAGAGAAAGCCCTCATCAACCTGGCCAGTGCTGAATTTAGGCCCTGCTCTGGGCAAGGGCTTAAAGTGACTTTCCAAGGCCACTTCCAACTGGAATGATTCAATAATATCTTAGCAAGTGAAATGGTTCTCTCCAGGGATAGAACAAGGAGACACTGTCTTTTCACCTTGCTTCTGCGTTTGTGACCTGAATCTGTTACTACTGAACAGATGTTCACGCTGAGAGGAAAAAAGGCTAGCCATTATTAGCATTGGTCAGATGACCAACCAATCCTAATTAGCATAAACACACTTCATAGTTTTATACAACCATTGGCCACACTGTGACCTTAACTCTCTTTACATGCTTGATTAACCTATAGCCTATCACCATTGGAGGCTGGGACAAAATACTTGTTTTGTGTGCAGGTGTTGTAGATGTAACCAGAGGACAAAGACACAGTGAACACTGGAGCATTTAGCTGGCAATCTCTATGTAAATGAAAAAAACAGTTCCTGGGATCAGGTTTGCCATCCATCTGCTATTGACTAAAACTGCCATTCTCTAAAGAGCTCATGATCCAAGTAATCAGACCAAGCAATAGAAAGCATTATCTGCCCATGAGAGGCAGAGAAAGATTAAGGCTTTGTCTGTCCACTAACTTGCAGTTTGATTAAAAACATGCTTTTGCCAAAGATTAAGTAGATTGTCCAGCATCTCACAGGAAGTCAGCAGAAAGATCAGGATATAAATCCCAGCATGACTGGGGCTCAGTTCAGTGACTTCCTACCAGCAGACAGCTTAATCACTGGAGCTGTCAATCTGAACGCAGTCCTTCATAAAGTAGAAGGTTACTGAAGGATTATTCTATCATGGATGGAAAGGCACAATGTTTTCTGCCATTCATGCTGTACTCTGATTGCAAAGGGAGCTCTGGGTCTTCACTTTTCAGTCTCAGAC